GTTTTTCACACCGTTTTGCCGACGATTTAACACAGCATTTAACTTTCTTTGGCCGACAAGACGGCAAACGGACATTAATGTCCTCGGTAGGGCATACTGCATTCCTTTATCTGCCTTTTCATCAGAAGCCTACAAAGTCTCAAAGGGGTCGCCAAGCGTGGATTCCCGTGCGCATGAAAATACTTGCTCCTAGCCTAAGTTCTACTCTAGGCTACGTGTACCGGCATTAACTTTTCAACCGCTACATCAAAAGGGGCAGCCGAGACACTGAATAAATATCCTTTAATAGCCTACCAAAACAAGAAGGTACTTGCACCTTACGTCTTTTATAGAAAGATAATACTGCGTTTTATTGTACGGGCTAAGCAAGATGCAAATAAAATGCATCTACTTAATTACCCAGGTATCATTCTTTCTCGGGTGCTTAGCCACCTAATTTCAGTCCGTCTTTCCAGCTGACGCTTCCTTTATGCGTGGAATATATTTGGCATCAGTAATTTCGCTATATCAGGATTCTTGTGTTACGCTAATAACCGTAGGACGTCTGTCAATTGATTCCATTATAAGAACTTAATTCGATCCCATGACCCTATTTGAGCTTCAACATAATAGGCTACTATTCAAACAACAAACATATGTTACAATGTATTTTTATAGATACAGATTGAAACCTACCCGTTCCATGCGCTCTGGATTTAGCGTTACTTTGACATTCGGATGAAAATGAGCATCCTGTGAGCTCTTAGCTCAACTTATACGTTATTCAAATTTATCAATTTTACAATTTTTGTTTTAACGCAAGCCGCTCGAAAAAATCACTTTCGATTTTTACGGCGTGCTGCTCGCTAGCATTTCTTGCTAACAACACTCCACAGCTCAAATTATTCTATCCTCACCTGCCGCTGTTTCTTTCGCCCTTCAACGGCACCATTCTCTGGTGATCATTCCCTGGCTCAGGAGAATCCAACAGCGATCTACAGACGAGATTTCTCTCAAATCTCTCGATTGCGACCCGACGAACTAAGATCCCGGTTTTCACGAAGTCATCCTTTGGCAAGTCGATTTCTTGACTACTGCTGGTAAGGATCATGGAGGATCTAAGGGAGTCGTATCGTTTCTTAATCTTCATTGTCATCCTCG